CCTTGCAACCAGTTGATTTTGAAGAAATAGATCATGATCTAGATCGAACCCGCGTCCACTTCAAATTTATTAAATCTCTTTTGGCCTACGAGTTTGCTGGGGCGCGCTTTCTGACCCCCTCGCTTGAACCCAAGTGTACTTGCTAAATCTCGGCCTGGCCCGGCCCGGGTTCCGAAACTTTCAAATTTTTTCTGTTAATTTTTGATACATTTTTGTCAAAATAATAATTTTAAAGCACGAAATTTATCCCATGACCTTTCTTAAACCTGAAAACAAAGAAATTTTGATAAAATTTTCTCAAAAATCCAATTTTCTCTCAAAAAATGACTCTTAAAAATATTTGCCTTAAAAACCCGGGCGAGGCCGGCCTGCGACATGTATGCTAAATAATAGCAATTGATTTCATATAAAAAATTAAATTAAAATATCACAGATTAGCATTACATCCCGCAACATGAATACAAATGAACGAGTGATTTATGTCTTGACAATGAGGGTACTTTTGTCTTTTATCGATTCGTAGGATTCATGAAGTACGCACACGTATGGAACACCCTTCATCACATAGGCACCTGCTAGCGCCTCAGTCGCTTCTTTATCATTCTTCCCATAAATGAAACATTTTGGAAGTTCAGAGTTAACAATCCCCGGTAGAAATCGAAGCCAGTCGATGTCTGCCACAAGACCATTGGAAGGATGATTAAACGAGTTGGAGAAGTGCTCACTTTGGTACCTGGAAATTATATTAAAAGTTTGTTAGTTTTACCCCACAAAATCTTACTCAGATTCTTTACGAGTGTCGATTAGATAAATCAAGTTCCGTTCTATCCGCCAAAGTAATTCTTCTGTTGACAATCGTGGACAATGTAGCTGTGAAAGCTCGCCCAACGATAAACCGTTCATCGAGTTCGGTAAACGATGCACGTCGCCTGCGTAATTTTCTGGAAGAATCTCATTTTTTTGTAAAACTCATGACCAAAAAACTAGCCTTTCCACGGACTCGCATGAGCCCTGAATGTACAGCTCGGAGGAATGATCGTCTCGTAACCTTTCGCGTTTTTAATGATCTCCTCGATGGATAAATCAGGTTGATCATGAATAATTATAATCATCTCATTGAAGTTGACGGATAATAATTTGTCTCGAAGACGATTTAACATTGCCAGTGCTATCATTAATGGGAACGAATTCCCATGAATCATCGTTTCATCCCATAGGCGGACCAGCTTAGAGAGAGGAAGTTCATGAGCGAAGCAAGTGAGAAACCATGGGATTGCAAACAATTCTGCATCGAAACCATTGTTCTTGAGGTGTTTGTACAGGACTGGGTCGATGTAAGCGACGAGGTGATAGAAGATTCCGAGATATTCTGAAAATTGGAGATGAATTTAGAATACATTGAAGTAGCCAGTACCTTTGATTACTTCTGAATTATCTTTCAAATAAAACTTGTAACAATATCTGTGAGTGAATTCTTTGAAACAAGCATATGCAACATCTGAAATTTCCAACTTGTTGATTTCAAAGTGCTTAAAATTTCTCACAAGGCTTGCTCATATTTGCCAATAAAAATGGAGTTGCCAAACTATCACACCCTTGCCAGTATACATAATTATCAGATTCTGTTATTATTTGCCATCCCTTCAATACTTTTCGCAATGACTCTTGTACTGCTGGAGTCGTCATGAAACTATCGTATTGATGACAACGTGGAATATCTACTTCAAGTTGTCGATCACTGGAGTGAGGTGCGAGGAGATCTAGATTCAAATAGGTGCTCCATTTGGTCTCATCTATATCCAAAAGCGTGCACCAAACTAAAAGAAAAACGATTATAAAAATAGATTCTGTGTGACCAATACCATCAGATCGTTGAGTGGATATGACCCCTATTTTAGAAAGACGAGACACAATTGAGGACACTCCAAATACAGCAGATGCATTGAGAAGATGATCAATTGTGAGCATGTTGGAGGCTGTTTCATATAAAATGTTCTCTTTCAAATGATCGTAATTCTTCGTTATTCCGATTTTATGAAACATTCTTGCCGAAACTTTTTGTCCTTTTTCTATTCGCTGTAAATGAAAGGCAGCGGGATTTAGGTACACAAAATTCAAACCTTACAGCTAACGTTTTCTTCTTAGGTAACTCAAATACACCGTACTCGAACGTCGACTGACTTTCAACACCTTGATCCACTTGATTAAAATCATCAAATCGGACAATTGGATATGAGGAAATAGGTGCATGATTTTGGATGATTCCTTTCTTGAGAAGGATAATTTCTGGTGAAGAACCACAAGTTTTCCATAGATAGAAGGCGTTTTCAAGAGATAATTTTTCAAATCCATCCCTGTCTTTCGCCATTTCCGTTTTTACTTTGGCACGCATATCTTCTGCAGTCATCACATCATAGATTGATCGCTTTGTTAATTTCGGAATTTGTTCATTAATCTTTTCGATAACCTCGTTAATTGATGGACGACTCTCCCAATCCATCCGGAGACACTTCGTAATTATTTCTTCCAGCTGAAATTTTAATCTTGAAATTTAGAACAAATTTATAAATGACACTAACCCATTCGCACTTTTTGTGATATGGAAGTCGTTTCTTATTTGTTAACAGTTGAATGATATCTTCCATGACACTGTTATCCTTGTCAGATTCGAAAGAAAAATTCTTGTTTAATATCTCAAGGTACTCTGATTCGCTCATATCAGGTTCTAATACAATTCCCTGAAAAAATAGTGTGTTCGGCTCTGAAAGTTGAATAAAACTCACTAAATAAATTTGAAGGAGAACGAATCCTAATTCCCAGACATCTGATTGATAAGTGGCTGCAAACAGTGATTCCTCTTCATTCAAAATTCTCTCTGGGGCTAAGAAGAAGCCGAACTTCATGAAAGAAGCGATATCTTTTCCGTAATTCGTTAGAAAACTGAAAACTTGTATTTAAATTTATATCAAATTTGATTCAAAATTCTTACGGTAATCCGTATCCTGATAGTTTTGTAGATATGTCGTTATTATCTTTTCTTATTGTAACGATGGAATCGATATCCAAAAATCCATGTATCACATTATTCCGATGTAGAACTTCCATTGCTGCGCAGATTTCGGAATATAGAACACTTTTCACGGCGTCTTCTTTTATTTCTCCTGCTTTCAGTGATTCTGCCAGTGTACTCGAATGATGTTCCATTACGACAATAACCAAATCTCGTGCTGGAAAACTATTTTGGCAAAGATGTGAGATAGTCTTTTTAGGGAAAAACTCACCAATAACGGTCTCAGAAAAGTGCAAGTAAACTGCGAGATTGTCATGTCGAATGGACTGCAAGTATGGAAACCTGTTAAAAATGAGAGAATTGAAATAATAAATACAGGAAGAAACTTCTCACCTTCCGAGCATTTGTTTCGCAGGAGATGCCACTGGCAAGCCATTGATGCAAGTTCTTCCGGTTTTTTCTTGTGCTCGAAGAACAAAAGCTCCAAACTGCGGAAAACTACCCATTCTGAATGAATAATTATTGTGCAACGATAGAGGAGAAATAAACAGAGCATTTGGAGTATCTGATTACATATTAAACTGATTTTCCGTTCGTTTACAATAGCAGAAAAACTTTGAAAATCAACACATTACCCACTTTTCTTGTTTTTTATTGTCTTTCTTGAAAAATAGAAAAATAAATAATTTTTTCTCTTCTGAGTCCGCAAACACCAAGCAGCTGAAATGCGCGGGAATTTGAACAATAAAAAAGCCAAAAAAGCGAGCACTGTAAGTACAGATTCCCAACAACCAAAGTAATATGATACTTTATCGAATAGTAATGAAACAACATTCAAAAAATGAATATTCAATTCGATTCTCTCAATGTATGATGCTTTCAATTCATCCACTCTAATCCATCCCCCGATTACGGACACTCTCTAATCCTCTATTTTGTATAGGATCAGGAGAAATGCTATCCAATACTTTATAACTTGTGAATAAATATTTCTTTTTTTCTAGCGAAAGAATGCCTGTAGAGACACTGAAAATGTAATCTGGAGTACCGTAAGGCCTGTAATATTTAGAAGTACCCCCTAACTTTCAGTTTTGAGCTAATTTATCTCAGTTCCTGTCAAAGGTCAATTGATAAATTGTTTATCATATCGTCACAAACATTTTATCAGTTAACCACTTTTTAATACCTTTGACAGGAACCGAGATAAATTGGCTGAAACTTGACAGTGTTGTTCTATTACAGGTTTTACGGTTAAAAACAAGTTAAAAATGTGTTTCCATCTGAAATCGTTTGAGAATTGTTCCTCAAGTTTCCAATGTAAAAGCGAAAACAAGTTCTGCGCAGAGAACCCATCCGATATTAAGAATCATGAAACTTTCCATTTCACCTGTTCTTCTTCTTCTTCTGATCATCAAATTATTTCTCCTCTCTCAATTTCATAATATTGACTGATAGTATCATCTCTCGGTACTCTTTCTTCTTCTCTTATCCTTTTCTTCTCTTTTTCAATTCCGAGGACAAATCAGTGTCTTCTGTCCTTGGCCTCCTCCCGCAATAGAAGACTTGTTCCCCCCATCTCGCTCCCTTCTCAACCTTTTCCTCCTCACCTTCATTGTCTTTTTTACCTCTCATCACGTTTTTTGACTTGTTGAAACAATTTTTCGCTAATATCATACTAAATGGTTGGTTGTCTCGATTCCTTTGTTATTCTAAACACTGTCTTCTGGTATTCTGAAGTTCCAGATGCCCGTTCTGTTTTCTTGAATTTAATTGACCAGATCGTTCTGGTAGTGACCGCAAGTACATAAACCAAACCTTTTTCTTTTGTAGTAATTAGTTCTAATCAAATCATTTCTCATGTCATCCACTCTTTATTCTCCCGATCCTCCAGCAGTAAGTTTTGACTTTTCAAATGCCCGAAACCGTAAAACCTGTAATAGAAGGGCTTTTACACTGTCATTGTTTGAGCTCAATTATTTCAATTTCTATGCAAGATAACAAAAATGTGTCAGCTAACAAAACACTGCTGATATTACAATCAAAAATTTATCAGTTGAAAACTTTTTCATGTCTTTGACAGAAACCGAGAAAAATTGGCTCAAAGTTTTTTACGGTAATCTATCACTCTTCCCTTCCATTGGTCTTTTAAAAAACATGATTTAATTATTCACCTGGTCAATAAATTAAATTAAATTATTTCTTGAACTTATTGTTTTTGAATTACACCAGATTAAAATCCAAATGACATCGTTCAACAAATTACAGAAAATGAAACAGAAGAGATTGATACCGATACACGGAACAACTGATAACATATTCTCTGAAGTTCGTGACTCTTTTCGTCGGAATTTCACAGAAGGATGGGAAAAGGCTGGAGCTGCTTTTTGTGTTATTCATAAAGGAAAAGTTATTGTGGATCTATGGGGCGGATATGCGGATAGAGAGTGCTAGTGAGTTATTGAACATAGCGTAAAACCTGTATTAGAAGGGCCGGCCCTACTTCTTCCAAGATACCTCCGGAGGGACCTTCAATTACGGGGTCATTTGATTTCCCTGAATTGAGCATTTTTGAGCAAAAAAGAATGTTTCAACTAATTTCTGTGAAACTATGTGATTTCCTCAATGTTGTTCACGGAAAACAAATGGAAATTTATCGTTTTAAACAATACATTTTGAAAGATGCCCTTCTATTAGAGGGACCCTTCTAATACAGGCTCTACAATAAGCACTTTAACAAGGTTTATTTTTTCAGTAAGGAATGGAAAGAGGACACAATTTCAACAATTTTCAGTTGCACAAAAAGTGTAACAGCCATCTGTTTTGCCATTCTGGTTGATAGAGGAGAGTTAGACTATTCAGATAAAGTGACAAAATATTGGCCAGAATTTGGTCAAAATGGGAAACAGGATATCACAGTGGAGATGGTCCTTTCTCATACTGTAGGTTATTGAGAGAAAATTTATGAATATTTGTTTTGAAATTTAGGCCGGTCTCCCATACTTCCCGGGGGTTAAATTCACAGAAGAAGAGCTTATTGATAATAACAAGATGTCATACATCATTGAAAATTTAAAAACAGTCTACGCTCCTGGATCAAGAACAGCTTATCATGCTCTGACTTTTGGATGGCTGACAGATCAGGTGAGAAAGTTTAAATGAAAATTGAACTGTTTCTATTTAAGATTTTCCGAAGAGTTGACTCCGCCCATCGGACTGTTGGCCAATTTTTCAAAGAGGAAATTGCTACTAAACATTGTACGTTTTTTTTTTGAATTATCTGAAAACCCCTTCTCTTTTAATTCGTTATTCAGATATTGACATTCATATCGGAGAATGTTCAAACGAAGAAAATCGGCTGGCTAGACTATTCAAATGTTCTCCAGCTCTTGTCAGTCGAGAAGTTGCTTACGATCGTTCCATTCTGAAACTAGCAAGATACTTCTACAACCCACGTGGCTATTTTGCCGCAGCTCGAAGGAATCTAAGCCTCTATGGAACGGATTTCACAATGTTCAACAATAGTGACTTGAGAGCAGTTGGACAACCGGCAGTTAATGGAATTGGGTCAGCTAGAGCAATGGCACAACTACATCAATTGGTCCTTGATGGAACACTTCTATCCAAGGAGACTTTTGAGGTTGGAAGTTGTTTTTCGAAGGGGATGCCGATCAAAAATATGTATTTTTTGCATCAAAATGTTCCCAAACATCTATTTTCATAACATTACTTCGAAAAAAAAAAATCAGAAAGAATCGAAATCCCTGAAAACGCTGTCAAAAATACAAGCGGTATCGGTTCTCGTCCAAGTTGTTATCATGCAATTTTTCAGCAATTTGTTTGATCAACGAGACTTTTTTGTTCTCCTTATCGAGTTTTCAATTGAATAATTCAATTTTCCCTGAAAATATAGAAACAAAGAACAACTGGAAACAGGAAAAAAAATCTGAATAATTGTGGCCCTGGAGTAGGATTCCCGCGACCCTCTTGGACGAGAACTGAGGGCCCATTTTCGACTGCGTTTTAAAGGGATCTTGGATTTTTCTGAATTTTTGAATGAAAATACATAACTTTAGGAATATTTTAATGCAATAAGGAGAAACATCTTGGTTGGAGTCGCCCTTAAAATATTTAATTGTGTCATAGTTTCCAGAAAATTAAACACCCAAGGAATATGACTGCATTTGACCACATGATTGGAGAACCACAAAATAAGGAACATGGATTCACTTATTTCAAATCTCCACTTCAAACTTGGCAATTCGGACATCCAGGAGTTGGAGGACAAATGATTCGAGCAGATCCGGATAACGATTTGATAGTTGCATATCTGACGAATGGAATGAAAACAGCAGGATGTGAAGATCATGTTTTCACTTTCAATCGTCTCCAACGAAAAGTTTATGAATGCCTGAAAAGGATTCCGAAGTTTGAATTGCCGCCTCCAGAAGATGTGGATGAATAGCCAGAAATTCATACGTGTATCTTTCTTGTTCTTTTGGTCGAAAAAAACCAGACTGTTCGTCTATTGTCTTTTCTTTTTCCTATTGACATAACACAACACTCGAGATATATGAGTTGGTATCAGAATGAGAAGGGTATCGTTAACACTCGAGTGAGCAACAAGCTCACTGAGCATACAACTAATTAATGAGGTTGCTCTTTTACTCCAGGAGATGCAACATGACGGAAACTGATTTTGTGTTTTCTGACATGCAGGTGCTCATTTTAAAAAGACATTTTGGGAAGTTGAGTATACATGGTTCAGGAGAGTACTCTCCAGGTTTACAATCATTTACAACTGTTTGCACCTATGTATTAACGTATCACTTTATCTTATCACTTCCTTCTTTTCATGGGAATCGTGCCATAACTTTCTTCAGACCGCAAAACTCCAAAGCGGAGAACCTTAATCATTCAGTATGTTTTCCTCTACAATTATGTGCTCGTACCTTATCCTTCATTCCATTCCCCTTTCATCATCTCTTTTCATGGTAACATATAATTTCAAAAGAGGAAGAGACAAGCTGTGTCCAACAGCCGTTCTCCTTTGTATTCTATCCGTACGAATGCATATATTCTATGAATCAGAGAGTCTTCCTTCTGGCTCATCTTGTCTTGTTTTAATTCACACCTTCCAAGATTTGACTCTTCTTCTTCTTCTTTATTCTGATGTTTGGGATTGGCTTTTTCTGTTCAATTGAAATTTTATTAGATAAATCTAGATAGGAGCCTAGATAGCTGAGTTCTTCTTTTGAAGAAGAGTATCGTAGTCGTAGTCTCAGGCTGTCTTGCATTCAGATTCTTTTTTCGGAAGGTCGAAAATTCCAGTTTTTAAAAATTCCAAATTTCGGAACCTTCGGAATTTCGCAAATAGAAATTTTTAAAAGCGCAAAAGATCTATTAAAAACTTTGTAAAAAACTAAACATATTTCGATAACTGCATTCTTTTGTGGCTCCGCGTCACTTCGAAACCAGTCATTTCGAAACCGAGTCGCAACCGGGGTAACACAGGCAAAAATAGATAAATTTCAGACTACAAAAACAATTTTAGGGTTTCATGCTTTTTTTCAGATAGAAAACAATCTGAAAATCGAAAAATTCTAAATTTTTTCTTCTTTTGAGAACATCAAGTTTTGGTTTTTTTTCGATTTTCGGAATGTGTTCTATCAGAAAAAGCATATTTGAAAACGCGAAAAATTGGTATAAATATAATTTTTTGTTTGATTCAAAAAAACTGAAATTTCCAATAAGTTTTCTCAAGTCTAGGTATTGTTATGATGGTTCAACGATGAATAGCGCAATTTTGGTATTTTCATGGGATGAAGCAGCTTTGACAAGTGATAACCCAGCTCAACGTTTGTCAAATCGTTTGAAACAGTTTACTAATGAATAATTTGAATTTTTTCCCCTCTAAATTTGAGCTAAGTACATCTCTTTTCCCAAACTTTATGCTAGTACAAGCCATGTACATGTGCCTATCATCTAGTTCAAAAATCAAAGTTTTCTTTACGAATGAAATAAATGCATTAACTAAAATGCTACGGCCCCACATGAATATCAATAAATCAACAATAATAATACAACATTTACCACTTCCCCCCCCCCCCCCCTTTTCCAGCTGCTCGATCGTCCCGCCAAAAGTCATAAAATTGGGAATTGAATAGAGAGAGAGAGAGAGAGAGAGAGAAATAGTGCAAGAAGCAAAAGAATCACCTCTCTCTTCTGGATAGAATAATATTAGTTGAATAGAAATAGGAGGGAGATACTCGTCAATCATTCCGAAATTAATTCCGAACATGCTTCTCCCATTTTCAATCACTCTAAGCCTCACCCTGTTCATTAGCTCTTTTGCTCTTTTGAAATTCTCTTTAAGAAAGGATTTATTTTTTAAAGGATAATCGAAAGTTTCAGAAAGGAGCAGAGGCTCATCCTAAAAAATTGTATCAAGTTTCAACTTTTGTTAATTTCTCTTTTTTATTTTTTGTTTGTTCAAGATTTCCGTTTTTCATTTTGTCGTTTTTCAATCCTTCCGCTCCGGACTAACGTCATCTGCAGACTTTGTTTCAAATCTCCGTCTTATTTTTTTCTTCTTCTTGTGTTTTAAATTTTACAATTTTTGAAAAAAAAAACTAAGCACCAAAAGGATAATTTTTGTCAGTGTTCTCAAGATTTTTGATTGCCGCACCAAGTGATTATCTTTGATAATTAGTTTCCGGATCAAGTATTTTTTCTAGCATTTTTTTTCTGAAAAATTCCAGGAATTTCAGAAATTCTAAGAAATCCAACATCCGAAAATTTCTAAAGTTCAAAAACTTCATTAGGTCCAGTTTAAAAAAGGAAGTATCAAGAAATTCAAAAATTTCAGAAAGAAATTCAAAAATTTCAGAAAGAAGTTCAAAAACTTCAGAAATCCAAAAATCCAAAAATATCAGAAAACCCTAAATTTTGGAAAATTCGAAAAATTCATTAAATTGAAATTTTCCAAAAAGGAAACATCAGAAAAATCAGAAATTTCAACAAAAGTTCAGAAATTTGAGAAAATTCAGAAATCGAAGAAAAATAAGAAGTTTTCAAAACAAAATCAGAATTTCTTTCAAATAAATTTTGCAATTGGGAAATATCCATAAGAATGCCAATAGAAAGTTTTAGAAAAAGTTATATTCTCTCTGAGTGTTTCGATATTTCTATTTGGAAAATCTGAATTTGATTAAGTTTTTGAGTTTTCGAAAATTTCGGATTTTTGTATTTTTCGATTTTTCATTTTTTAGAATTTCTGCTTTTTCTTAATTTTTTCAAAAGTAATAACCGACTAAAGCATAGATTCATTACCTACCGTAAACACTCTAATAAAATACCAGCCGTCACTTTGACTTTGAGGTCAGTTATCTCCATTTCCATAGGAGATATCAAAAATAGGTAAACTGATAAAATTTTTATCATAATAGCACCAAGATTTTATCAGTTGACCTATTTTTGATATCTCCTATGGAAATGGAGATAATTTAGCTCAAAGCGCAAGTATACGGTGGTCTTCTATTTGAGTGTTTACGGTATCTCGCTGCAAAAAAAAGAAAAAAAGCCGTTCGAATTTATACAATTCTCCCCGATTGTTTCTCATGGTTTGTTTTCAATCCCTAATGTCCACAAACGTTCATTTTCCTGTTCCATTTCTGTTCCAATTTCTGTTTCTATTTGTTTTCTATTTTTCTCTGAATTGCCAAGAACAAAAAGTCTAACCAAATCTGAACAGTACAGTCACAGCCACACACCTTTCTGACGATCTATCCAAATATATCTCCTACTGCTCAGCAGAAGCAGCTACTCCCATCCAAAACAAACATAATTTACTATGAAGTACCTCTCCTGAGCTCTCTGTCGGTAGACCCCATTTAGGGGCAAGATGGTGTAATTTGATATATTCTCCCGCAGAGTTGCCTCTCTCGATTCAGGTTATTCTTTTTATTTCTTAACCCATTTATTTCCTTAATTCCCCCTTCTGAAACTGCAACAGTTGTGTTTAATCGACAGAACAAAGAGAGAAAAAATAGAATGACGGATGTGGGGGATGGGAGCAAAAATGAGAGCAGTAATTGGTAGGAAGTTAATGGGGTTCCTATCCAACGATACATCCAACTTTTCTATTCTTTTCTATTCATCATTCGTTGTTTAAAGGATCATATTTTATTTATGTATAAGTTGAATCTATGACGTTCTTTACTTTTTCGAATTCCGGATATTGTTATAATTGTTCAAAGATGAACAGCTTAATGTTTCTTGTGTATTTCTTGAGATGAAGCAACCTTGACAAGCCATAAATCAGCTCAACGTTGATCATTTAACTAATGAATTATCTGAATTTTCGCTCTGCAAATTTGAGTCCACAATTTGAGTTCTCGCCAGTAAAACGCTTTACTCAAATTTTATGCTAGTGCAAACTTAAGTCCGGGTAATTATGCGCTGTCAGGGGTGTTCGGAACGGAATTCGGAATTCCGAAAATTTCCAAAATGAAATTCCTGTCGGAATCATTCCGAAGCTTTTTTCGTTATGAAATTCCGACCGGAATTTTTCTGAAGCTTTTTTTTTGAAATGAATGGTTCCTGGATTACAATTGGAGGCGCATGCGAAAAATTTTTTGCGGGTCCCGAACCGGTTTAATTTTGATATTTTTTGTGCTGTCGTAATCTTTCTGTCAATTTTCACCAGTTTTTGTGATGGAGTTTCTACTTTTAAATTGAATTTTCAAAAATTCCAAAAAGCCCATTCCGAACATCGCTGCAATCTGTAGAGTCAAAAAATCCGCCCATTGTACGCACCTTTGCTGTTTCGAGATGTTGGATTTTATCTGGTTGAATCAGTTTGGCTCCGAACTCGATCAGATAAATCCAAATTTCTAAAGTTGATTATGTAGATTATATTTAGATAAGATTCTTGAAAAAACAATCAAAAGTAAATCTACTAAATAACAGATTTTCTTACATTTCCCCAAATCTTAAGGATACAGCCATCACTAACAAAATTCCTCCGCTTTAAAATTGCATTTCTGGCCATATAAATCATCTTCTGCTCTATACTTTCCATCTCGAAATTTGTTTTTATGTATGTTGTAATCGTTTCGTCCATTTCTGTGTGTCTGGTCCATACGTAATCCCTACCAGCCGTTAAAGGGTCATCTGAGGACTTAGAAATAAGAATAAAAAGAAGAAGAAGAGCAGCTCTTCTTCTGTGTACTTGAACGTTTTCGAATAAAAGAAGGGCAACTTGAGAAGATTCATGATGATGATGATGGCGATGATGTCTGCTGCTGTTACTCTTCACAAAGGAACGCCATTTGATTTTGAAGTAATGGAGATAGTCGGGTGAAAAGAGGATCCGCGAAATTTTACACCCGTTCTCTCTCTTCTCCACATCAAAATGATCAATCCCATATGACACCTCATTGGGCGGTCTGCTTGAAAGCTCTATTTGATGTTTATTTTAGTTGATAGGGGGTATTTCAAAGATCCTGGGAGTAAGAAGTTTTGTTATAGTTGTTGATTATAAGAATAGAAAAAAATAGATCGTCCCAAGTGAATCTGGTATATGTCTGTGACGAAATGATTTTGTTATCTTCAAAACGATGATATCAAATAGGATCATAACAAGTTCCAAACTACCTGTGTAGGGTTGCAAAAATTTTTTCTTTTAAATGGTGGCGCACAATTACACGGACTGATAAAACGGTATACCTTTAGACATAAGTAGTAAACACGAAAATTGATAGGAATATAATTTGCTGTTTGACTCAAAGATACTGAAATTTTCAAAGTGATTCCTTAAGTCTAGGTACTGTTTTGATTTTCTTAAGATGAACGGTGTAATGTTTCTTGGAGTGATTTTCATGAGATCACCTTATAGGTTCAGTTGAAATTATTTTCCATGAAACTTGATAGTATTAATGCTACTCACTATCACATTGGCTTTTAAACTTTTTAAGGAAAATTTATTTTTCTAAAACAACCATCATTAGAATAAATTCCAAAACCGGAAGCCGTTTTTAATAGATCCCCCACTCATAAATCCATCCCCCTCTCTCTCTCTCCCACGCACTCCAAATAACCGTTCTCCTTTTCGGTAACGCCTGTCGTTGTTCTGTCACATTGCACAATCTGTTCACTCTTTCGGATTAGCAATACCAGATGAACATCTTCTTCCCTTCTTCCTCAGCTTCTCCTTCTTTCTTCTTCTCCACATCCAAGGGGCGGAGCTTAGGGGAATGCGCGGAACTTAGTTTCTGATGTCCCTTTTCTCCTTTGATACTCTTTTAGTGAGAGCAAAACGTTTCAAAAAAAAAAAGGCAAAAAGTCTTATTTTGATTGGCTGCAATCGTTTGATGTCGTTTTTCTCTCTTTCTCGTTGGGCGGTCCAGTGGCCACCAATGAAAAATTGCCGGTCATCTTTCAATGGATTACATTGAAATGTATCGGGAGGCCCTCTTTTTCTTTTTCATACTTTTTTTCCTCTTCCTTTTGTTCTTTTTCGTAATCGACCTCCTGCAGATTTTTGAATCCGTCATTTTTCTGAGAGCTGATGACTTTATGAAAGGGTTCGGGGTGGGATGACTCCTAGGTGTTGGGAGGGTTGGCGTGTTTGTGAATAATTCACAACTCGGTCTTTTTTTACCTCTTCTCTTCTCATTTCTAGTATATACCACCGGGAAATCAGGGATGCACATTTTAGTTGGTAGTCGTTTTTTTAGGACCGCCGAGGATGTGCAAAAACAAAACAATGTTCACTTGAAAATAGTAGTAGTCCCTTTTTTTGTCAAAACCAATGAATTACACTTCTCTTGGAGTTTTTCTTCTTTTTTTCATTACCCGTGTGAACAGACTCTTGTTTCCTTGACAACTTTCCGGATGTTTTTTTTTCCGGAATGTCTCAATTTTTATGTTGCAGATACATCAAAAATCGGAGGGAGGATGCTCCAGAATCTACAACGATCATGAAATATTTCATTCGTTTTTTGCTTACAATTTTGGTGATAACAAGGAATTTGGCGGCGTTAATTGGTGAGTTTTTTGTGATCCCTTACCGTAAAACCTGTTATAGAAGGACCCTTCTAACTTTTAATTTTGAGCGAATATATCTCGGTTCTTGATAAAGAAATAAAAGAGTTGTCAACTGGTAAAATGTTTATCATGAAATCACAAACATTTTATTAGTTGACACATTTTCTATATCTTGCATAGCAGTTGAGATAATTGAGCTCAAACTTAGCAATGTGACAATGGGGGGGGGCTTCTATTACAGGTTTCAGGGTAGATGAATAATTCTGTAGAACAAATTTATCGGAGAATGGGAAGGTACATAGGTTTTCACAATTTGAAACTGAAATTCGGCTGGAAAAATGGCTATTTATACTAATTATAAATTTTTAGTTAACACGAATTGAAAAAAAGGTCTCATATGATAAATCGAACCCATGAAATTTAGGGAAAATCTGAAGATCAGAAAGTTTGAAAACTTAAACTTTGGTATGTTCTCAGCTCTCGGCTTGTCACTTTGGTCGGAAACTTAAAGGGACTTTTGGACTGATCTTGACCAGGTTTTGATAGGAACTTGCCCAAAAACGGATGTATAGCGGGCCGTGGTCAGATTTTGGTGAAAAATTGAAATTTGAATAACTACTAGATCAGAATCTTTTAATAAGCTTGTCGAGGTTTGGTTGGCTTTAGTTGCGATCTTATCCGGAATCTGACTAGCCCCGACCAGAATTTCCTGGCGAATCCCGAGTTGGAAAAATCTAAATAATCTATTTGACCTTTTTTCTCAATTTGTTCAATCTTCTACTAATTTTTAATTTTCCCACACTTCTAAGAATTTCGATTTTCCATTTTGCCCTGGTCCCCAAAAACATGTTCAAATCCCAAACGCCCGCTTAGGTCAACAAAAACGCCTTTGTCGAATTAAGAACCCAGAATACGCTCTTTTTGTCTTTCTTCTTCCAAACACACATTCCCATTTTTCATCCGCGCGTCAAGCTCCTCTTCTTCTTCTTCCATTTTTCACAACAAAATGAGTGTCCTCCTGGCCTGTGCTGACTGCTCCTGATGCTGCTGCTCTCCGTAAAATTAATGCGAAATTTGTCATCTGGGGCGAAGCGATTTTTTGTTTTCTGGGGATGCGAAGTGTTCCAACTGGTTCAGGAAGGGAACACGACAATAAAATTGGGTGCAAAAGGGGTGAGAATAAAATTAGGATAGTATAGATTCAAAAGGCGGCAAGTGCACACATACACACAAATTTGATTGTTGCCACTTGACACCTCAGGGGGGATCCTCTTCTTTTTCTCTTCTGAATGTTCCGAATAGCTTTACCGCAATATACATCTTCCACTACTTCATAATAATTTTAATATATGCCACGTGTCAATCATCAATGATGGCTCACGACGTGTTTTGTAAAGAAGAGCCGAGGGTGCCGAAAGTGCTCGACAGATTGCGTTCGGATCAAATAATCACGCTTAGCAAGGGGAGAAGAGAAACACAACTAAGCCAATGATGAACGGCCGAAGATTAAGAAGAAGAAGAAGAAGAAGAAGAACATGAGTAAAATAAATGAGGGGTCAAATAGAGTTCTTTTTGGGATGGGATCAGGCTGCGAGGTGTCACTTTCTGATGCTTTATGGGTGGTAGAAGACATTGATTAATGAGATAGAATGAAATAAGAAAAAGAAGAAAACGAAGAGCTTTTTGAAGTTGTTTGGGTTTTTAGAATTTCTCGCTTTCGAAAACAGCTAATCCAAAGCAATCTACCGTAAACACCTGGCCACACTATACTCGCATCTTGAGCTCAATTATCTCGATTTCTATAAGAGATAACAAAAATCTGTCAAGTGATAAAATGTTTTTCATAAGATTACCAACATTTTATCAGTGGACACATGTTTGATATCTCTTACAGGAGCCGAGATAATTAAGCTCAAAGTTCAAGTATAGGGAGGCATTCTAGTTTTTACGTTAATTGCATCGGAATTCGGCAACAATTTCTAGAAATTTATATAATTTATGGGGTTTTCATTTTGGTCAGTCTGAAAAAAACTTTTATTTTTGATCGTTTCTACCCACCTGTGATATGCAACTCAAAGAATGAGATGGCTATTCTTGCGAGATAGAACTCCTAGATTCACTCCAGTAGGGATGTTCGGAACGGAATTCGGAATTCCGACATTCCCAAAAATTCCGAGCATTTTTGAAATGAAATTCCGGAAAAAAATTCGGACTGAAATTCCGGTCGGAATATTTCCGAAGCTTCTTTTCGTAATTAGAGAGTTTTGGACTTTTTCAACACTAGTTTTTGGCGTTTTAGTGATGGGAAAATGGAATTCCTACTTTGAAATCTGAATTTTGAAAATTCTGAAAATTCTGTAGTTCCGAAAAATTCAAAATCGGAAATTTCCGAAATTTTCAAATTTTGAAAATAGGAATTCTAGACATTCCATCTTAATACTCTCTGACCCTTTATGATATAAAATTTGAACTGGTTGACTAAACAAACAAAACAACTCTGCTCTCTCCATGTGTTTTATGCTCCTAGATAATAGATTATGTAATAAACGGCCTCCTCATCGTCTGGTTGTCTTCCCCCTCCCTCTCTTGTCTCGTCTCCAAGCTGGTTTGATGATTACATAAATCGAGTCTGTTACCTAATGAGATTCTAAAGAAGAGAAGACTCTAAATTGCTCGTTTTCGTCACGTCACACGGCGAGATGAACTACACGATTAATGAACCGAAATAACTGGTTCCATAGGGAAAACTGACGAGACAGAGGCAATGGAAAAGAGGAACGGAATAGATACTTGACAGTGGAAAGTGAAATGGGATACTGATTTATATGAGTTCAGATTCATAGGGGTTCTAAATTGGATAGATATCCTGGAGCGTTTTGACAGTGGTTTACACTGTTTTTGACGAATTTGTAGTGATCGGCGAAAAACTTATTTTGGAAATACTATAACACTCTAATAGAACATCTCAAACTTTCAACTATGAGCTTGTTTATCTGGGTTCCCGTGAAAGGTATCAAAACGTAGTCAACTGACAAAATGTTGCGACTATTTTGATAAACATTTTTCCAGTTGACCACTTCTGGATATCATTACAGGAACCGAGATGTATGGGCTCAAGGTTGACGGTTCGGGGGCTGGGGTGGGAACGATCTGTTATAGTGTTTACGGTAACTATTCGATATCAATTAACTATCAGTCTGCTTGAATGACGATATTCAATAAAATTGCATTTGCCGCTTTACAGCAAAAATAGAACGCCTTCTAAAACTTTCAGCCATAATTTTTCAGACGAATCATCATGTCCAATCGGGTGGCAAATTGCCAGCGATCAATGTGTCCGTATTGTAATTTCACCGGCCAGTCTGAAACATGCAAAGAAAATATGTCACCACGAAGGTGGAGAATTGATGGATACAAGTGTGATATTACTTCTGGAAGATGTTATGGATTTGCTCAAAAATCTATACGAAAATGGATTGTATGAACCTACTTTTCATGTTGGAGGAATGGGACAAGCACTGAATAGAACAGACGATGGGAACTATAAAATGTAGGCTTTAAAATATCAAAATTAAAATCAATTATTTGATTTTCAGAATAACTATAAATCCATCATCCCATTTTCCATTCATCTGCTCGCTCAGTAAAATGGCACGAAGATCTTTGCTGTTTCAGCAGAAATTATTGCCAATAGGAGCTCCAAAAATCAGTTTAACAGGACAATCGGAAATATATTTTCACCCTAGACAAGACGCTGATTATATTGCATTGCCATGTACAGTTCAAGGAAATCCGAAGCCAACTGTTTCGTGGTACAAGAACGATGTCGAAGTGGTTGGTTTTTTTTGTAAAAAGTTTTATCACAAAAAAAAAAATATATTCTGTCCAAAAATTTAACCACACTTTTTTAAAAAGTTCAATTATTATTTGGCATTGAGAGTTTTGTTATTAGCTTTAGACTTGTCTAAAAACGAAATCTAACGTTCATTTGTAATAATTAGGATAACAAAAATTAAAATATCCCAGCAATGATGTTCGGAACGGAATTCCGTTTCGTCCATTTTCAGAATAATATTTCGACCAAAACATTTCAATTTTTTACCGAGTTAGAGGTTTTTTGACTACTGTATGTCAAAAGCTAACACGAAAAGTTGTGTCTTGAGCTGGATCATGTTGTTTTTTCCGTCATGAAATCCTCTTTGACAGTTTTTTGCCCATTTGGCATTGGGCAAGTGGAATTTATACTTAAAATTAGAATGTCGAAAAATTTAGACATTTTGAAACTAGGAATTTTTGACATTCTTAAAAATTCCGAGAGTGCCATTTCGAAAATCCCTGTATCCCAGTTTCACAAAATCCCTGTATCCCAGTTTCAAAAAATCGAAAAAAGGAAATGAAGAGAATCACATTTTCAGCTGAGTCCCTCGATGTCCAATGTCTCTTACCTCCTGTCCGGTGGAAATCTTCTAGTACCAGCATCATCATCTCTCGCCTATTCTTCGTTCCACTGTACCGCCAAAAACTCTCTGGGAGAAGTCCGAAGCCCCCCGATTCTCCTGAAACCATCATTCATTGACGCATTCCGTCCACACCGTCTGGATGTTTATTCCCTCGCAACTGGAGGAGCTAAACTGGATTGCGATGCTCCAGCACATCAACCAAGTGAGTGTTTTAAATTAGTCCCATCAAATAGTCTTCAATTCGCTCAATTTCTCTCTCAAACTTTGAAAAAGAGACGTGCTGATGACAAGCGACGACCGCATTAGGGACTCTTTTTCTGTGTATGCATGGACCCAAAACCCTTTTTCTTCTTCTTTTTTTCCCCATTATTCGCATGTTTTGACAAATTCGAACGACTAACTTCCCGTCTTGTTGAATTTCGGATTTGACTTTTTATCCCATTGCTTTTCTTTTTCTTCCATTTCTCACAATTCCATTTGGATCATATTTCATTTTGACCCACTTCTAGCAACCTCTTGAAGACGTGAAATTGTAGATTCTGTTTCCAATGTATCCAAATGATTTTCCTTTCTGAATTCTTCCACACTACCCAAAACTTCACTGACACATCGTTTCCTATTCAATTTCCCCAAGAATCTAAAATTGTCTTGAAAAAAACAAGGGCAGAAGCCAGAAGTCGTGGACCCGGTCTTCTTCTTTCCTTTCAAATATAAAAGTAGGTACTTCACAAAAAAAAGAAGAAGGAAAGAGAGATTAGTCAAGTATACACCCATGTTCTACGATGATGGATTGGATCCCTTTTCCTGTTTTATATGTGGTAGTAAGGGCAGTAGGAAGAGAGGTTATTTCTTCCTATTTTTCCTTTTATTCTAAACTCTCAAATTTATAGAGAATCCTCTACTTTACGAAAAACAAAAGAATGCATTATTGTTGAAACTGTCTCTGATGATGACGCATGGCAACTGTACAATTTTTTTTTCTTGCCAATAGAATTTGAGAATTATACAATGTCGATGCTCTCCCTAGTTGAAATTTTAAAATGCAAGCATTCTGTTCAGCGGAGCGCGGTTGCGCGGCGGCAAATTTTTTTTGGAAACATTTTGTGTTGCAAAACCTTTATGTTTTTTTCTTTCTTTTCATTCTTTCATCCACGTTTTTTAAACGTAATAAATACAATACAATACAATACAATACAAAATTTGCTGAATACCGGTTTGTCAGAACCAAATAAAAACAAATGTTTGGCGCCGTGCAACCGCGCTCCGTTGAACGATTGTAGTTCGAAATTCAAACTGGGGACTGGGGAGCGATGTCTTTGTTGTTCTAGGAATGCATTTTGAAAGTTCATAGAAAGTGTTACACTGCACAAATGTGCTCTTTTCTCAACACAAGCTGTTCTTTCTTCCCAATTATTACACAAGACCCCTTGAAGACCCTTTGAGCCTTCTGACACTCGGATGGAACTCAATGATGAAAGTGTATTACTGTAGTTCTGTTCCCCTGACTTCTTTTTTGCTGAATAATTTTGGAATCGTGACAACAACTCAAACTTGTCAATGCAGATTTATGTAGGTGCCATCATTTGCATAGACCCCTTCTTTAGCACCCCCTTCCCACTTCAATAGTGATTAGCCAAAGTAGGGGACAGAGAAGGAGAGGCTCCTCCTCTTCTTCTTCTTCTTCACACGTCCCGATGGCTCTTCGAATGAATTCGTCCCTTGAGAGGAAGACATCTTCAATTCGACAACCAGAGCGCATCTCTTTTGAGAAAGGAACCGAAAATATGTCAAATACAGAATGCCATTTCCCGTTTTCTCTTTTGGTTTTCAAAAACACTTTACTTTTCTATTCGTTCCATGAGAATCTTTTCTTCTGGGATATGGTAGTCTTAGACGATTGTAAACTTGATGAATCATGTCTCCGTGCAACTTATTGTGATCATTTCATGTTGTACAAATCATCGATACAAGATTCCCGTGTGTTCGCTCGTCTCTACTTTCGTTTTCTTTTTCGTTTTCCACATTTAAAAGAAGAAAAAGAAAGAGAAGAAGAAGAAGCCTCAAGGAGCCACCTGTCGGTGATTTATCTTTCGAGTTCTTCTTCTTCTTCTACCCATCCCACCAATTTTCTTGAAATGAGAAGAGAAGCTTTCAAGCTCCCATTCGATGTTTAATGTACTATCAACAAGTGCGATTCATCCAACTCCTGTGACCCACATTTTTGAAATAACGGTTCCCACAGAAATAGAGAAAAAAAGATGACCCTTTGGGCAACGGGACCTTCTGTCAAGATCAGTTGTGATAGGTCAGGCGTCTGAGGTGTTAAGAAATTTCAAAAACATAAGTAGGAATGTTCAATTTTTGATTTCGAAACGCTAATGTGACGAATCATTGAGCCCAAAAAAAAATCGGTCAAGCGTAGTTGATACGGTTCGATAGCTTTCATTATTTCAGTAGAAAATCAATATTAAACTTTTTTTAAACTTTAGAAATTTTATGAGCAGTGTGTCTTTTCGAAAAATTGTCGTTTTTGGTCATTTTGATATGGTGGCCTAACTTTTGCAAGTTGGGTTTTCTAGGACACCACCTTTTTTGGCCAAGGAAGGGCCAGACATGACACTGGTGTGCTTTCTAGGTCATTTTGAAGTGGTGGCTAAACTTTTGCAAGTTGAGTTTTCTAGGCCACCATGTAGAAATGACCTATAAATGACCTGTTACTCATCTGGTGTGTTTTCTAGGCCATTTTAACGTGGTGGCCTAAAAACCCAACTTGCGAAAGTTAGGCCACCATGTCACAATGTATTCGTTTCAAAAAATTTCTCGAAACCGTGTCGAAAGGATACACTGATTATGAGATAACTTTTTTGCTGAATATTTCATACTGAAAGTTCAAAAATGACTTTTCAACTCAGGCTTAAATCTAACCCATTTATTTTTCCGAGTGTGCCATTCCGAGCTTTTTTTCCCGCTAATTCCAACCAAATGCTTCAATTTTCTAACGCCTTTTTCGAGTTTGGCTTCATCTCTTTTCGCTTTTCACTAACTATCGAGGGGATGGTGCATCGACACAAATTGACCATGAGTCCTAACCTGATTACAAGTTGCTTCTTTTTTCCCTTGGGGCAAGATTCCTTCCTTCTTTTTCTTCTTCTTCTCCGTATTTCCCTAAACTTCCAATGATGTTCGATTTTCTGTACAACTTCCTTATCAACTGTGTTTTTTCATAAGTTTTCTGATTCCTATCCCATTTTCCTGATTCTTGCACGCGCGGAAGCGGACGCGGAAGGAAAAATAAAGAGAAAAAAAACCAAATGCGAATTGAAGAGAGAGAAAACTCGATAAGATGCCTGGATATAACGTTCTTTTCGCTTTCATTTGTTCCTTCGAAAAGAAATGGAAGAAGAAGAAACACTTGAGACTGAAGAAGGAGAAGAAGCTGTTTGTTGATTCAAAAGTGTCTGGATAGGCAAATTCTGGATTCCCTCAATACCTTTTACGTAACGGTGACAATTAGGCGTTATCTGAATGACCATAGGCTTCTTGGGCGGCAGAAACTTTCTTTAAACTACAGTATCGGTCTATAAGATAACATTTTTTTTGTGGATTTTTGACCATTTTCAGGAGCCTTTTTGGCCATTTTCAGAAGTATTTTTGACTATTTTAAGGAGTCTAAATCTCGGTTGTCAAGTTTCCGAACGCTTTGAAATCTTTGGAGGTAGGAAAATAGGCCTAGATTGTAAACTTTGCGTTCACAGAAATTTTCGAAAATTCCTAGTTTTTCAGCTATTGACCGATTTCCGAAAGACTCCACTTTTTGGATTGTTTTAGGTGTAAAAAACAGGTGTATTTCAGAAATCGGCAAAAAGCTAAAAAACTAGGAATTTTCAAAAAAGGCTATGAATGCAAAATTTCAATCTAGGTCTGTTTCACACTCTCCAAAAACTTTCGAATTAATCGGAAACTTGAAAACCGAGTTCCAGACTCCTGAAAATGACGAAATCAACGGAAACACTGATACTGTAATTGTAAGGTCTGGCGCCTTTTTTCATTTTAGGCATATTTTTTTCGGTATCAAAGATGGTACTCTTTCGTAGTTTTATGGTTCTATAAAGCGTTCTGATCATTAGAAACCAGTTGATCCGGGTAGTAAAACCAACCAATCAAGATCTAGATATCAAACCCCAATACCACTACATCATTATCGAAAGTAGGTTATCACATAGTTAGTTGTTTTCTCAAACGGAACATTATTTCTTTGCGGGATCAAGAAGAAGCGATATCTTGACTTCATCTTGGCCTTGGTGGAACGACGATCCCATTAAAATTTCCTTCTCCATTTCTTTTTTTTTTGATGATTCCGTTCTCAAACACCTCTTTCTCTTTTTGTTTCGGGTGTCTCCAACAATCGGCCAGCCAACCCCGCAATCAATCTTGATTCAGTCTATCAAATCGAAATGTCAATAATCTATCGAAAGATAGAGCAAACAGGGCAAACGGGAGCCATCATTTTCATGCTCTCTCCCCTGGAGGAACTTTTCATTTGACACTTTAGAGATTCTATTTATGAATTTTCTGTTCTGTTCTTCTCGTTTTAGAAATTTCTTTGTTTGGTTTATTCTTATTCTTCTGCTTGTCCTATTAAGCTTCTGAAGTAGTGTATTATTCTTTTCGCTTATTCTGTTTATTTCTTTTTTTGTTTATTCCATCTGTTAGAGACTAGATCTCTTTTTTTTTTGTAAACGAAGAAGTGTGAAACGTTCGGTATGTATAAAACAATTTGAGATGTACATAGATAGGAAATTTCATTTTTGTAACTTTTTTTAATGTAGAATAGGTTTTCTAGTAGAAGATTTTCCAGTTTTCCAGTATCCAGCTGGCTGTTCAGGACCTCTCAAAGTCAGTGGTGTTCGGAATGGCCTAAACGGAATTTTTTGGAATCCAGAAATTTCCCAGTTTTAAAACTTTGGAATTTCGGAATTTCGGAATATTCTGGTTTTCTAAATTTCGGAACATTCCAATTTTCGAATTTTCGAAATTCCGAGTTTCGCTTCGTATTTCCTTGAGTTCAGAACCCACTTATGAAAACTGAAACTTCAGAACAACCCATTTCTAATCTCTATCAGCTGGTTGTTCTTCTTCTTACCATTCCCCCATTACATACCGATTCCTAGAATGCCAATAAAGTTTTGTTTGTTATCATTTTCGATCATCATCAATTATACCCTCTTATCACCACTTCTATAATCAAATTGCAGCCAACTCTTCTACCTTCTTTCTCTTTTTCTTATCTCTCTATTCCTTATACTTTCAAACCCTCCCACTTCGTTTTCCTACTCCTTCTTCTTCTTCACAAAGAAACGAATATCATTCGTTTTTTATCGTTCCCTCCCACGCCGTACACCGTTTTCCTGTTTCAATTTGCCGATGAAACAAAAAACAAAACCATTCAGAAGATTATTCATTCAGATAGCCTTCTCCGCACTTGCACCATTTCTCGATTGTCCTTCGTCCTTTTGCACTTGGCTGCCCAAAAAAAAGCCCATACTAACATTCACTTTTGCACCATCTACACAATGCACACCTAACCCAGATCCCTGAATGAATTCCTTTTCTCCCCCCAAATCACCGATTCCTTTGCACTCGCACCATTCACCGTTCCGAGCATCTGATGCTTGTTGAGCCAATCTTTCGTCCGCACCGATCATTTGATCATTTTGTGTTCTCCACCGGAACTTTTTTCCGATCCACACAGACACATTTCTTCATTCACACTTTGTTTGCACTTGCACAAATTGCACAATACACCCCGAATGTTACAGAAATTGAAATCAGATAGATATGGGAATAAACCGAGTGTCTTGTTTCTTTAAAAGCTGTAATTCAAGTTTGGCTTGCATGTTAGTTCCGATTCAAACTTTTGAATAACCTCACAACTAATAAATCACCATAAACACTCGTACAGGGGGACTTCCAAACCATCAAGTTTGAGTCGATTTATCACATTTCCTGTACAGGATAGCACAAAAGTAGTCAACTGACAAAATGTTCAACCTAATATTAAAATTATTTTATTAGTTAACAACTCTTTAATATCTTTCACAGGAACCGAGATAAATTGGCTCAAACTTAAGGGTGGAGTTCTATTAGAGTGTTTACGGTAGATTACGATAACAGTGGATCATCAAACATCAATTTTTCTTTTGATACTATTGGTTGTATCCTTTTTCTGTATTACTGTAGTTAAAGTTAGTCGAATCCCTTTATGAGATACCCAATCCTACTGTATTACTGTTGCTACAAGATTGAAAAATCCTTTTGAATTCCCTCTGGTTTCCTTTTTCTGAAAATAACATTCTCACCTCACTTGCACTAAACCACTGGCTTGCCTCTCTGAATAGTTCTCCTAAAATGGTTTAACTTCCAAATCACCCTTGAATTAATAATGTCTTGTTTTATTTTGTTGTTGTGATTAGAAGAAGAACACAGATATCATTTTTTGTTTTACATGTTTCTTTTGTCCCCCATGGAATGAAACCTAGCTTTTTTGATTGTCTTTTCAAGCACATTCCCTTTTCTATCATATTTTCCCCCATCCAGTTATTATGCACCCAACACAAACTACAGTAATCTTTTTGACACCAACCTACCTACAGTAATCCGATTTGTGGCCGCACCCTGAAACACCATACACACCGAAAGTATCTAATATCGCTTCGTTGATCTTTATAATTTTTCTCTCTGCTGACTTCTTTTTTCTTTATTTTTGCATGTTTGGTGGTGTCTTCCTATCAATAAACCCCTGTCACTTTGTGGTCCAAATTGCACATACATACACACAGAAAACCATTTTTAATACGGCGGTGTCTCTTGTCACGCTTTTTCCATCCAGGTTCAGATTGAATGATTGAGCGAGTGGATTGTTTGGTAGAGACTTTTGATTTATTCAGATTTTTAGAAAATTTATGTCATCTTTAGAATCGCTCACCTATTCTTGGTTGTATGGATCATCGACGGATCGAATTTTGAGTCAAAACGAGAAAAAATTCATTTCGTTGGACGGAACACTTTTCTTTTCCTACATTACATCGGATGATGAAGATAGGTAAGGATTGCAGGTTACTGTATTAAATTTGAGAAGAAAGAGGTCATAAGTTTGGGCAGAAAAATATTTTAAACATTGGATTCTAAAAAATGTATTACTATAAAAACGGACGGTGCAAAACTGCTTTAAAGGTGGGGGGACAGGAGATTTTTCGTATTTTTTTTGTAGCTAGAGTATGCTTTCTACCGTGACGGTGTACAACGCTTAATGTCACTCTGCGTACAGCTGTCGTCCTCGCCTTTATGTATGCAATCGGGCGTGCGCTTTCTCTTTGCCCGCGTGGCTCAGTCGGTAGCGGCGCCGCACCCTCAATCATCGCCCTCACAAGTTCAACTCCTCGAGAGGCATCTTTGAACGGAATTTCGAGAACATTACTTTTTTCATGTCCCCCCACCTTTAAAAATCAGGTTTAAAATCACCTAAAAAATTTCTAAACTTGGGCAAAGTTGAATTATCTAGATAAGTTTTTAACAAAAATTTTTGAAAACTTGAATTTTTTGGAAAGTTTCGTCATCAAATTCAAATTCAGAATTCCAAAATCACTATAAAATCTGATTTTCAGCATTCTAGGGTTCAGTGTTTGGGTACTTTTGATGCTAAAAGTAACCGGAAAAAATCGTGAAAATGAGAAATTGATCTCGATTTTAAGAAGATGATTCTCAAAATGGGCTTTTAGTGGTTCTCCTTTTTTTCAAAGATTTCGAAATATTCTCTTGCACTTTGAACACAATTAATAATTCATACAGATCATTAATGTAATCCTATTACCAACCCGGTCTTCTCCGATTAAAATGACTAATCAGATTAGTTTCTGATAAGGTTTAAAATCACCTAAAAGTTTCCTGATAAGGTTTAAAATCACCTGCCCATCAGATCAGACCCACCACAATCAAAATACCAACAAAAAATCAATTGGCTTGAAAAAATTAAACTTCTTATGAGCCCTCTAAATTTTCAGCTACGCCTGTTCCCTATCAGTATACTCTACGCAATCAGGTCACTATGGACCATTTTTCCGACTTATCTCTTCGACTCCAAAACTAGCCAATTCAACTTTCCCGCCGAAACTTGATTCATCTCAACCGCAGATTTTCCCAGAAGATCCAAAAGTCGGAGATTCGATCTATCTCGAATGTTTTGCTTATGCTAAGTGAGTTTTTCTAAAATATCTAGATCGAAATCCGAATATTTCCAGTCCAATTCCTCAATACAAATGGTCTCGTGTCGATGGAAAACCACTTCCATCTCGATCTCATATCTCTAACTATGGAAGAGTTTTGAAGATTGATAGAGTGAATTATGGAGATTCTGGAAAATATAAATGTGTCGCAACGAATGCATTTGGAGCAGCTGCTGGAGAAGTTCATGTTAAATTGAGAGCACCACCATCAATACTTCAAGGACTACACGATCGTCTCGTTCCGACTGAATCGAATGTGAGCTTCGAATGTCTTCTATCCAATGCGGACAGTTATTTTTCTGTGGAATGGTTCAAAGATGCAAAACCAATTGTCCCTTTGCTTCTTCCTGCTGAAAAGAGAAAACGTCTTCATATCGATCACAATGCGTTGCATCTGAAACTCGCCGACGAATCGGATTCTGGAGTCTATCAGTGTGTTGTGTCTAACAATGTCGGAAGTTCTTCGAGTTCTGCTCTTCTAACTGTCAAGGATTCCGCTCCTGTCTTTCCTCCAAACGCAATGCCTCGGAAAGTGTTCGCAGCATTGGGATCCACTGTTAGCATTCCTTGTATTTTCGAAGCATCGCCAAGGTTTCATGGGAAATGGGCGGATGCTGGAGGATCAAGACTTCCGCAAAAAGGAAGAATCAGAGATGAAGATGGAGTGATTAGTATTGAGAAAGTTCTTCATGAAGATGCTGGATTATTCTTCTGTACCGCCCATAATAAATTGGGAAAGACACATGCACAAGTTCAATTGATTGTGATGAATAAGCCGTCAATTAAAACCAATTATCTGGATGAGGAGACGGTGAATATGAGTTGTGAGGTTGAATTGACATGTGAAAATAGTGCCGAATGTCCAGAAGCACTGTTTGAATGGAAGATTAATGACCGACCTGCAAAGGAGTATCCATCATTGAAATCAAAAGTTCATGAGAAGAAAAGTGGACACAAAGGAAGACATGTGAAGCAAAAAGTGGATCTGGAGGTACCGAAAAGTCTGGCTGGAAAACGTCAAATTGGAAGATTCGCATGTTCATCTCTCTACGGAGGAAGTTCAGAATTGGTTACGAAACCTCAACTTCCTTCTCCTATCGCATTGACTGTCGAAAAAATGGAAGAAGAAGGCGGAGGGAAGCAGAAAAAGAAGTTTAGGTTGAAATGGAGACTTCCACCACAACACAGAGATACTAGAGATCATTCGGTGAGTTGGAAATTTGTATTTTAAAAATAACCATGATGAGTTTTCAGCCGAAAGTGGAAGGATATTTAGTGGAACTTCGAACTAGGAAGAATAGAAAATGGAGAGCGGCTGAACGGCAATTTATTGGAAACATGGAAAAGGATAGTATTACGGTGGAGAATCTTCTTCCGAATACCGAGTATCAGTTCCGTGTTAGATCAGTTGAATCTGCTGCAATTGGAGAACCATCTATGCCAAGTGATTGGGTTAAAACTGCACCTGGTGCACCATCTGAAACTATTGACAATTTGAAATGGAGATCTTTGGATTCACAAACTTTGCTCGTTGAATGGCAACCAATTGAACAGGGACAAGAATCTTCTGGAGATAATTTGAGATATCGGGTGTCTTGGAGTGAAGCTTCAGTTGGAAGAAATGCAACCGATGAAATGAAATCGTTGAATCACGATGATGATTTTGAAAATCATTTGGGTAAATTTTTTAGACTTTTTCTAAATACTGATTCTCCATATTTTAGATTCGGATCATTCACAGGCAATTCTAAAATTGAACACAACTGAAGGTTGTCGAATGGTGGTCCTTGCTGTTCGGCCCGTTAACGACCAAGGAAACGGAACAGTCAGTACAGATACTGTAGCATTCTTGAATAGTAGAGGAGAGCTTAAAAAAGTTTCGCTACACAATGTGAAACCAATCAATGCGTCACACGTAAACATCTCATGGATCTGGGATACAACATCTGATTGTGATACGAAACATGCTGTTCAGATCACTTGTCTCGATGTGAGAGGATCTGAAATTTCGGCTACTATAGCCAGTGATAGAACTTTCTGGATGTTGGGAGGATTGGAAGCCGAAACTGCGTATGATTGTGATTTGAAAGCAATTGATAACCATGGAAACTTTGGGCCAACAAGCAAGAAATTCAGAATTCATACAAAACAACATCCACCTGAACAAATGCCATTGATTGGGAAGCTGATGATGAAACAAATGGTAATTGATTTTAAAAAAGAAATTCGGGAAAATATAAGTTTACCTTTCAGAAAGACAGCTACACGACGATTCTCGAATGGACAGCAATTGAGTTGCAGAAACCGAATAGAACTGAAAATGGATGTGGATATAAGGTTTGGCAAGATTTTCTAAAATTATGATTTTAATATCAAATCTTTAAGATCTTCATCTACATTTCTGAAACGGCTACAGAGGCTATCGAACTTGACATGCCAGTTCAACGTCTTTCTGATCGTCGGAACCCATCTGCACGTCTTGACGGATTGAAACTAATGTACATGTATACTATCAAAGTAGCTGGATACAATCCTGGAGGAATTGGTCCGATTAGTGACCCTCGAAGTATACGATTAGGAGCTCCAGGATCGATGGATTACACTTCTGAAAGTTCTGCATTGTCAGTTACGATTCTTGTACTAGTCACATTACTTCTGAATTTATTCATTTGAATTATACTTTTTTTCATCCCAGTCATGACTCGAATGTTCTCTCTGCCAACCCTTTCTTCAAAACTACCGGTGATATAACAACTTGTAAATTTTCCCAACTTTATCCAATGAATACATTTTACTTTTCAATTTATGCCAGTTAAATTTTAAATATGAAAAATATCTGCACATTTGCAATAAAAAATTTCACTGTACACCACCTTTGAAAACTGCGGGTTACTGTAGTTTTGGGATATATTTGTTGAAATTGAACAAAAAGGATTACTGTAGATTGAGAAATCGTTTTCAAAATTTGAAGAATCGAGGATTACTGTAGTTTTCGAAATCGTTTTCAAAATTTGAAGAATCGAGGATTACTGTAGTTTTCGAAATAGTTTTCAAATTTGAAAATATGACTACTACTGTAGTTTTTAAAAACTCGAAAGATGAGGATTACTGTATCTTTCGAAAACGTTTTTAAATATTGAAGAATGATGATCACTGTAGTTTTAGGAAAAAAAGGGAATCGTTTTTTAAACTTGTTGAAATTGATTACTGTAGTTTTAGGCTTTTTTATTGAGGAAATGAGAAATACCTAAATTTTAATACTTAAACTTACTTGTTAGATGATAAAAGTTGTAATTTTCAAACTTTATTCAATAAATACATTTCACTTTTCAATATATGTCATTTACATTAACTTTACAGATTTGAAAAAAAAAGAATAATTAGCAAATTAGTGTGTCAATCAATTTTAGAACATTTTAAGCAGAGTATTTCTTGGCCTCCTCTACGATCTTCACATTATCCCAGATCTGCTTCCCAGTGTCATCAGTTTGAGTGGCATTGATCATTGCCTGAGCGATCTCGGCTGCAGAACTGGAGAATCGGTTGGAGAATAGCTTCAATGGTTTCATTAAAACACATGCTGCAGCTTCTGCGAAACGGAACTCCTCTCGTTTTGTTTCGATGAGACCTGGACGCATGATGACAAACTTATCGAAATTAAGTTCGGCGATTTCTTTTTCAACCTCTCCTTTTGTCTTGATGTACAGGAATCGGGATGTTTCGTCAGCACCACCAGAACTGACAAGTATGAATTGCTTGACACCTGCAAAAATAGATCATGAATTGTCAGAATTTCACAAAACTCTTACCGTTCTCCTTTGCCAGTTTAGCGGCACTCATGACGTAGTCATGATCTACTTTGTAGAATCCATCGGCTCCCGACTTGCCCCGTGTTGTACCAAGTGCACAAAATGCGACATCGAGGTTGCGGACGTCTTCAGAATTCTCCTCAAGTTTTTCAAAATCGACGGTCTTCTGAACAAACTTGTCTCCAGTTGCAGCGTCGACCGATCTTCTTGCTAGCAGCACGACCTTGGAAAACTTTGTGGAATCCGCGAGGAGTTTCACAAGTTCTGATCCGACTGCCCCAGTGGCTCCGACAACAAAGGCAGTGCTCATTGTTCTGAAATTATGTCATGTGAACATTATTTACCAGAGGGAATTGCGTATCAAGACAAAATCAACTTTAGAAAGAATTACAAAAGTATACCAAAGGATTATATAACCCGATAGATAGAAAAAAGCGAATATTAAAAATGGTTGGTCTTCTTTTTTGCTATAAAACGATGAATAAATTAAACTACAAAAGAATAAAGACAAAATGAGAGATCCGTGGTTAGTGAAATGCACCGAGAATCGACTCAAACAGCTCCTCGACCGAAACGGCGTCCATTTCCGTTAGTATCAATATCCCTTTTGCGGGTCTCGACTTCAATTTCGACATTTCAACAATAAGATGGAGACGTAGATGTTGGATGAGCAACGTGTGGCTCCGAGAGCTTTCAGTTCCAATTGCCAATGTGTGATTCGTTGTTCCCTCTTTGGCACACTTCACCTTCACAAAAACATTATCATCAGATGACAGTGGAATGCAGAACACAACGGTATCATCTTGAACATTTGGAATTTTGAGAATTGCCTGGAAAACTTGAGGATTGGAGACAACCGTATCTGGACTTCCAGAAAGGAGATTGATGAGAGAATTGGGTAACCGAATTGAAGATGAGAAAGTCTGAAAATAAATAAGCATTCAAAATTGATTATTTTCCAAATACCGTATTCAGGTCAGTGGTTTTCTTTTCAACGACTTGAGCTAGATTCCAACAGGTAACTGATATCGGGTCGAGTTCTATTTGAAATACTTTCCGCGTTTCATCCAAATGAAAATCTCTCACCAGCGACAGATTTAGTAGAAACGGTGGTGCTTCACAGTTCAACTGACACTGAAAAGTCTTCCGAACGCCAGGTAGAAGGGTTCCAAGAGATATACTTTGGCTGTATGAAGCGCTCGATGAACTGCTGGGGAAAATTGGAGAAGGATGAACAGAGAGCATCCAGTTGTTCATTGGCTGATTTGTGATGTTGTGAACTGTGACTAGGAGAAGGATGGTTCCGTCATGGAGATATGTAATCTGAAAAAATAGTTTATTTCTTGTTGAATCGAATTCACTAACCTCTCCGTAACTAGCCAAGCTCTTGTCAACTCGTTTTGTGTAGCATTCCTCCATTTGTCTGCATATCATAACAAGACTTCGGATCTGAAAATATCGTACTTCAAGAAAAATTATTGATTTAATTTCAAGACCTCAATTGCCATCTCATCTAACTTCTTTGACTCTTCTTTTAGTTTTTGATACTTTTCGATAACTGACTTTTTATCTATGAATGAAGAATGATGGGTTTTCGGTCCATCGTCAAATGAAGCATCTTCAAGTGTTATCGGTTCCGTGTCCATCTGTTCATCGAAATCAGCAAAGAGATCGTCATCGCTGAAGTCTGACATTTATCTGGGATGAGAACTGGTTATAGGTTATAGAGTTTTCTAAATTTTCAAAGAATATCTCAATGGAAACAGTGCCAAAAAATTCAAAAAAAATGAATTAATTAAAAAATAAATGTTCGAATTCATCGAGAGTTAAAACAATTATAACCGAATTACATGGTAATCATCACATTTTAAACAAAGAACTTGTAATATTCAAAAAATACCCGTAATATATTAGAACATAATTAAGTGAGTCAATAAGTTAACAGGCAATGGCAGCATGAAAAACATAAGTAGTCTATAAAAGTGATAAACGTTGCAGGATACTTTTTACATTTTCATCTTGTTCAGCCTCGTCTCGCATATCTTGAACTATGGCTTCTAGACGCTTTTCAAGATGAGGCGGTGCTCCTACAGACCGTTTTAGAAGACCTCGAATTGTGGAACGCATCTGAAAAAAGACATTTCGGACGCTGTGTTCCAGGTCTAATACCTCTTCATGAACTTCAAAGAGCATGACAACGTTTTCCAGAGTTATTACAGCAACCGTTGGCTCGTTGGCAAGAGAGAACAGTTTGGCGTTAACATCGGAAATGTTGGCATCAACCAAAGTTCTGAGAATGTTTAGTTAGACAAGTAGAGGGTTAATCTGAACTCACAAAAAATCTGTATCTCCAATATGAAAATCTTGGCTGCCATCGGATGTTAAAAAGTCTACTCGTCTGAAATTACACAAGTACCTCAGCATGTTGATGTAAATTTCAGCCAGAGGAACACCTTTTCCTTCTTTCGACCAGGCTTCATGGTTTCTGAATTAACTTCGTAGAAACTATATTTTTCTGTATTCTAATACCGTTCAACTAGAGCAAGAAGCTTCGAGAACGGAACAAGTGGAGGCGAGTCTTCACTGAATCCATCTGGACAGTAACAAAGAACAGAAAGAAATTGATTGACGAGTGGAGAAGTGGCGGAGCATGGAGAAATTTTTTTTGTGCTGATTTCACTCAAATACTCTAAAATTCGATCAGTTGACATTTCGATCTAAAAGTCAAAAATATGAGTTAGTGCGGCTTCTATAATTTTTGATACTTGTGGTAGGAAATTGGCAAGGAGGCACATCTGGATATTTTGGACAGTAAATTTTACACGTTTCGGTACATCTCGAATTGCTGGGATAGTTAGTGATAAGCTAGTGATGCAGACTCTCATAAAATCCGATTTCCGCTTTCCTGATTTCAGAGCTCGATGAGCAAATTGAGTGAAATCGAAGAGAATATTTATGATGTGCTGAAATCACATCAAGTTTTTTGCGCACACAGATTAAAACTTACTTCTAAAATAGTTTGCCGCAATCCCATATCTTCCCGACATCGAACAATCAACTCAATGCATTGATCCATATCAGGAATAGATTGAAAATCGATCAGTGACAAAGAAGAACAGACAAGCTGCTCGATGATTTGAACATCTGATGAGTCTTCCAGTCTATAGGATTTGCACATGGAATGGCATTTCTCAATGATAAATTGGCACACTATCACATTGGAAATCGAATGCTTCTCGAAACGCTTCGTGAAATTTTCCAGAATTTTTTTAGAAGAATCTGATGTTGATTGAATATCGAATCCAATAAGGTCAACGATTTTGACAAAGCTCTTGTTGATTACGATTTCAAGACAGTCTTCTTTTTCAGCTGTGAATCCTATGAAAGAGGCAATCAACTCGATGAGGAGAGGTGTATTTTCACTTTTCTAAAATTAACTTGAGTATGATTCTTAAATTCTGCTTCCTCACCTTTGTTTGGTCATCTATTCTCAGTCGGATTTGTACCAACTCTAGAATTCGATTGATATCCTTTATAGTGTAATACTTCGCAGTGAATGCCGTCCATGCAGTACAACATTCCACAAATGTTTGGAAGTTTGCCACATCGGCAACTCGCATCCATACTGATCTGCAACGACTTTCGAAACAGTTAAAGAAATAGTCGAGAATAAATGAAAAGAGTAGTAAGGAAACAAGATATACTCTTGGTGAAAATCCTATAGAAAAGAGAAAAGGGAGAGAGTGTGAGTGAGACAGGAGCACAATTTCGGACACAAAACGACACAAAAAAGAGAAACATGCTGCGAAGCCTAATATTGCGATGACGAATTTGTGAAAGTTTCCCGATGCATCTCGAGAAAAAACACTTATATTTTTAGACTTTTTTTTTCGATCTGGCTGAGTCACTTTGCAAAAAATAAAACCTACTTTTTCACAAACTTTCGATTTTCTTCTACCGGCGGCATTTGAAAAAACCGTTTCCCAAGTCGTGTCAATGGATCTTCAAATTCTTCACGAAGAGAAAATACGATGTCAAGAACTTGCTCAGAGTGTACAGCAAGGTACCTTGAAGGCAATCCTTCGATGACGGCACATATCAAAATGTACGTCTTTTTATCTAATGGAAATGACTTCCGACAGTATGCGAATAGTGGAACAAGGTCTTCTACAGTAGACGCTCGATGAGCAATACATTGAACTATCCATGATATTCCTTCAATCGATGCTGCTTGTTTTCTAGCATCAGCTAAGGACACAATTTTCCGATTTTTATCTTCCATGACATCTTTTGGAGCTTGCATCCAATTGTGAAGACTCTCCAATGAGGAGTACGGTTTGATGGGTCGATGAACATACTGTAGCGGGAGATGTGAACTCTAGCGAAAACAGAAGAGAGATCGTCGGGAAATTGAGAACACATCATTGCGAGTCTTTCCAGATTGATGGAGAGGTTCTCTTCGTCGAAGAATTTGAGACAACCAATCATTGAGCATTCAACTGAAGATTTGTTTTAAAATACGAAGTTTTGGAGATGAAACTAACTATAGAATCTAACAGGAATTTCTGTGATTTCTGACAACTTCAAGAACCAGTTCATTGCCATATCCTTGACATTTTTCGGTACTTGTTCTACATTGAAATTAACTGGAAGATCGGTTTGGCCGTTTTTGTTACGAGCCTCGTTGGATTTATAGAGAAGTCTGTCGTGTAGAAGCTTCCCGAAAGTATCGATCACATCCATTGTGAGAAGCCAATAATATGGATATTCTTCAGAATATGGAGATATTCCCTGCAGCAGTTCCGTGCATTCGATTATTATCTGAACATATGTTGATTTCAAAAGAAAAAAAAATAATTCAAACCTTGAAAGCTTCAACGCGATCTTCTCTCGTCCAGGCGGAAATCAAGATTTCTCGGAGGGTCAAAAACTTCTGTGAAGCATCTCCCGCTTTCGTTACATTTTTCAGATTCTTCTCGTCTGAAAGTGTTTTCAGACGGGCTTTCAGCATATCGATTGGTGTCATTCCGAATTCTTTTGGTTTTGCAAGTACAGCAATTTGAGCTCTTTTCTCTCTCCACGGTTGAAAGTCTGGGAGATCTACATCGAAGCTGGACCTATCCGCTCTCCTGTTTTCCAAAGTGTTATCAAGAGTAAAACTTCGAGATGCTTTTGATGATTGCTGTATTACATCAATATCTACTTTATTATTCGTCTCTGCTTCTCCGAAAGTTGCTCCTGAACATTTTCACTGAGTGATTAGCTTGAATTAAGAAAAATACCTAGGGGATCCTCGAAATCGTACTTCTCTTTGTTATCTGACTGTTTTGATTCGTTTTTCTTTTTCTCCCATTTCGTCCAAAACTCGGCTAGTTTCGTTTTGACTTCTGTATCTTCAAGCGGATGCTGGATAGCTGGTATCACTAAATTTGGATCAGTTTCGAACTTTTTGGCGGCAGGTCGGACTCTCCAAATTGACTCAGCCGCCATTTCTAAAAATATTTTATTATTAGTTTAATGGTAGAGAACCACAATCATTTAAAACTTTGATAAAAACGGATGAAAACAATTGAAAACAAATAAACATAGACTTTGTCCAAGAGGAGTACACTGGCTATGGCTGGCGATTATCAGCTCGGCCACCAATGCGCGGCGGTTCAAATTTTATTTTTCGCGTTCATCTTTTTTTAGACAATCGTTGGAAATAAACTCGATTATAATTGAAGAGTCATTAAAACAACACCAAAAACAAAAAAATAATTTATTCAATTTTCAAGGGTCTTGACTATCAAGACTATCGACCGAGCCAAGCATTTTTCAATAAAGAGTTTATCTGATCAGCTGTCACTCGTTTGTCGATTGTTCCGCCGTCGGCCAATGAATCCCAGTTTGGAATTACATCTGGAATGAAGGAAATGAAAATTTAGTTTCCGGTAAAATTGTCAAGGGGTCAACGATCCCGTTCAAAACTAGGAATTACAGGCTTCGAAAAAGATCGCACAAGTTAGAAAACTTACTTTCGTCCACAGGTCGATCAGTTTCGTATTGATAAGGAATCCACTTTTCGTGAGAATACATTTGATTGTACATCAACATTGGAGATGGATCGTAGTCGAATCGTTTCGTCTAAAAATCATTTTTAGAAGCAGTTACCGTAAAACCTGCATTAGAAAGACCGGTCGTTCTATATTTCCAAGATCCTTCTAATTCAGGGGCCCTTCCATTAGAGGGAGCTCTTCTATTTTTCCTGCCTTATTTTCCAAAATGTTTCATTTGAAAAATCGGTAAATTGTCATTTTAAGTCTTAAAAATTTGTCAATTTCAACAAAATTGAGCCAGGTTTCGATCAAAAAAGAGTGTTTCAACAAAATTTCTGTGAAATTGTGTTTAGCTGAAATCTCATGAAAATTTTAATTTCAAACTACTAATTTTAAGAGGGTTCTTCTATTAAAGGGACCCTTCTAATACAGGGTTTACGGTAGATGGATTTCTGAATAGGACAAAGACAAAACTTTTGAACTCACCTGGATATAAAAAGATAAAACAGTGTTGCAGAAGTAGAAGAGAAATATGCTGATAAATGAGAAAAAATACATTTTCTGAGAAGAGGTTCACCCTGCAAAACGATAAAGGAATTTTGGGGAAAAACGATCGAAAGGGATAGAAAAAGCGAATGATTAGGTTGAAATGAAAGAGGAAATTCTGGAAATTCTATTGTATTTTTTGTCTGTTCTAGCCACAACAAAAACATGCTGGAACAGAAGAAACACGACCTCATTCTCTTCATGTGTATTTTTATTTTATTTTGGCCAGCACAGCTAATTTCAGAATGGTAGTGGGCAGGGTCTTGGAGAGGATAATTAGTCTGATTAGTCTGGAATACGTCATTCTTTTTTTTAAGGCCCAGATTTGTGATGTTGTGTGTCACCAACGAGAAAAGAAGACGTGGTGTAGGATAATTGGAGGGCAGAATAAGTTTCAACCAGTCACGCGAACTCTTCTTCTTCTTTGTCTTCAAGTGTGATGGATATCGGTGTGGTCCTACGCCAGGAGACTATTGTGTTGACGTCGTAAAGTGACCAAAAGAAAAAAAATAAAGTCCGAAGAACCGGAGGAAGACCGGAAATGACGTGGAAGATCGAGGAGCGGACATGTCTCAAAATAATTTGTGTTCGAATAGAATAATTCCGTTTTGAATATCGTTGATCCAGAAGATTTTTTGATGTGTTATGCCGCGTTCAAAGTTGATGTCCAGGAGTAATTTCCTGGAAAAACGCTGTCCAAAGCTGCGATTGTTTTCCAGATTTACAGCAACAGTAAACTGCTGTATCACTCGTTTTGACTGTGTTCTTCTTGTTCATTCATGTCGAAAAACGAAGAAACTCGGTGGGGTGAGACATAGATAAACAAAGATAACCTTGAGGAGAATATGCTGGGCTCAAGACAAGAAGTTCACTGTCTGCCTCGCACTTGTCCGTGTCTTGTTCTTGTCCTCCTGCTGATGACCGACATTTTGAAGAGCATGTAGATAAAAATA